TTACTTAGCTTGGGTTACCTGGATAAAGCAGTGCTCTGAAAGCCCAGTACCATTAGGTTTCATGATCATGGTTTTGAGTATGCAGGACTGTATACTGAGTGGCATTAAAATGCCAAAAATAAGTAATGGAACCAGTAGCATTTTTTACATATTTAAAGCTACTCAGTATATGACCAACGAAGCAATGCTTTTAAGTTGCTCAGTATTTGAACCCTGATATCTGGGCTGACAGCTGTCATTGTGTTCAGCCATTTCCTGAAGAAGAGGCAGAATGACTGATGGAACAATTGTGTATGGTAATTCGCAGGTACACAGTGGGCAAAGGAAGGTTAGGGTTCATCCAGAAACACATTTTAAAATGGAACTGGACATTTGTTAATTAGAACATTATTTAATCTGTGAATGTTCTCTTTAATTCAACTTGTATCAGCCACAAGTTAAAAAAATAACATCCACTCTTTTTTGAATGACATTCAGTACAAAAGCTATAGTTTACCAACATGTTGGTGACCACAGGATTTTCCACAGACTTTATAATTTCCATCCCTTTGTGCACCTTTAATGTGACCCTCAAAAACATTGACTCCGTCGAAGAGGTTTGTGAATAACAACTGCCAGTCTGTTAACAAATTTCTCTCTGATAATTATAGTTAACAGAAGTTAGAGTGACAGAGATTTTAACCAACCTGTTACATGATGAAAATTGTCAGCACCATGTGTAAAAACAATTAAACATTTGTAATTACATTATGTGGTCACATAGTGAACATGAACATGCAATTTGCAAAAAATCCAATATCAGAGATCAGATTATTGTTTTAAGGTTTTACAATGTTTTACATTTTTAAATAAACACATGTATATATTAGGCAGTCTTTCAACACTACACATCACTTAAGAACAATAATACTGTACACGGATAAGTAAATCTAACATTTTTGTATTTTTTGCATCAAAAGAGCAACATTTTTTCAAATGCATAGCAGGGGTGCACAATTTAAGAGCAAGATTGAATTTTCTTACATTCTTGGAGTATTTTAAAGTTTTGATGACAATGACATGCATATATACACTATGTATATTTTATTTAATATAGCTGTCTTCATCCACAGTAGTACTCTAATTGAAATTAACTCTTGTTTAAGATCAAGTGGGAATGCAATTTTTCTCAGTCAGCATCTGAAGGTAGGTGTTTCACTAACATAAAGTATAAGTGCATGATTAAGGTCTAGAAAATAGGAGTCATTCTAAATTATACAGATTATCGTCAGGAAATCTTACTGTCAGGTGCAATTTACCACATCCACATTTTTACATTTATAATCATGAACATCCAACTGTTTTGCAGGGTTCTGCAATCTGGTGAGCTATGCCTGTTACCACCAACTGTGTTCTGTATCCAAAATATTAGAATATAGCCAAGAGATTGATTGACATTTTAAGCTTTATGTTCCACATGTAATTACTGTGTCACAATTGTAATCCCTCCTATTAATCTGCCTCCTATCCTGCCCCTCCTTATTTAAGTCAGACGCTCTTACTATTCTGGGCTCAGCATTTGGAAGATGGACGCCCGGAAGCCCACCTACTAGTGGGTCCTGGAGTGACCTGATGGCATAGGCTTCACCACGGCGTCCTGACCATCTGAGTCCGGGGCTTGGAGTCTTGGCCCCGTTAACCCGTTTTTTATTCACAATCCCTGCGCCGGATCCCGTTCCAGTTTTTAAACCTTGTCTTGTTTTTGTCTTGGATGGATCACCCGGCTCTGGACTCTTGGACATCGCCCTAGATTTTCCCTTGGACTCCTCTGGACTAGTTCGCCATGGCCACACACCCCCGAGCAACAGTGCACAGTTGTCACACCCCCCTGTTTGTCAACCTGCCCAGTTCCTCGTCGTCTCCTCCCTGTGTCCATTTCCACTTACTCCCGGGTTATACCTTCTGCATAGGGTCCTGACCTAAGCATCGCTACAACTGTTAATGGCTTCATGTGTTTCATGTTTTCACTCTGTAGACAGTACATTCATGCGTATACAGAGGACAGGCAAACAATTAAGTGAAAACTCATAACAGAATAATGTGAGAGAGCAGCTCCTACCTCACTGTGCTTCTTTACTTATCCAAACACATCCCTGTGTTATCAGTTGCCTTGGAAACTGCTGATGATACTGTACCTATCCAGCAAAAATATGTGAGATGAATTCAGAAAGTATTTTTTTAAACAGTTGTTGTGAAATCCTATAATCCTGTATTTTTTTTTAAACAAAACTTCTTTTTTGTGGTACTACAAGGATTGTCTATCATAAGTGTAGTTTTTTATTGTAACAGAAAATTTACCTTGTGATAATGATTTGATTCCTTTTCTAATATAGAGGAGAACTATTAATATAATCAAACTATACAGGCCACCTTATAAATCTGTATGCAACAGTACTTAAAATAACTTTAAATGTGAAAGCCTCATCTGATTGTACCTTGTTTTGTGTTGATTTACTAAGAAAAACAAATGCATTGTTTCTTCTTTACAAATAACTCTTGAATCCACATTCATACTACAGAATAAGCAGTATTTATTTGTAATATGCATCTGCTAATTGTTAAAAAGACATTAATTGGGTGTTGGATCTGAATTAAGTAAAATGAATTTCAGTCAATTGCATTTAAGCCAGATCCATGGAAACAGAACTATGCTAATGACACAGACCAAAGAGCTCATCAGCCTAGATCAGCATGAACTGACGCAGCATCAGTTAGATATTTCAAGTTATTCTAAATGATAAAGTACACAGAAAACGTTTGCTGCATACAGTCTCTTTTTTCACAATAATACTGTTAATGTTATTACACCCCACAGTACAAAAACACTCAGTGTAGTCAAACAGATTTGCACTTTAGTTTAAAGAAAACTACATGAAAAGCTTTTTAAATGGTTAGATGATGGTCATATACTGTATTAACTGGTAAAAGCAATGACATAATTCATGAAACTTATTTTCTTTATCTTCAATGTACATTTCATAAAAGTTATTGTTCACAGTGTTCACAAAACAGATATTTCTACGAAACTACATTATATTTTCTAAGAATGTCTTTCAGTGTTAATGTTTATCAGTCCTTACTTTTCCTATAAAAAAGTCACCATAAATGTTTCAACCTGCAAAATCTTGTAGAAACTGTGTTCCTGGTAAGGTCTACCACAGTCCATGAAAGCTTGTATCTTGTTATAATTTTGTTCTGATTAAATAATTCAGCTCAGTCCAGCTGTTTTTGATTTTTATTTGTAGTTTCACTGTCAATTCCACGCATATGTTAACTATATGGAACATCAGAATTAAATTATTGATCTATTGATAAATGTATGTTTTTAGAACACCATTGTATGCAGATTATGGATATTGATTGATTGACTGAATATTGATTGACAGTATTTTGATTATACTGAAGACATTATTTTGATTATTTGGTCATTCATTTATTTAGGGTAGTGGAAGGTTTTTCATACAGATAGAAAACACAAACAAAAATACAAAATGGAAAACATTGAGGCAGAACAGCCTACTTACTTGCAGTAGGTATTTATGTTGAAACTTCAGTTACATCTTCTAGGAAAGGTGGGAAAGCAATTACATAGGGAAACAAAGTGTTAGTACAATTAAAAGCCTAGAATTCAAATCCAGGGAAGTTATATTAAAATGCTATAAACACTAGTAAGACCTATTTTAAAATGTTAAGTATAATTTCACTCACCACGTTATAGAAAATATATTACTGCTCTGGAGACAGTTCATAGCAACCAGAAGACTTAGTGTATTCTCTCTTGGGCTTAAGAGAATGACCTTCATTGACAGGCTGAAATGATATAAATATTTTTGGTCTTGAACAGTGAGGATTATGAGGTTACCTGACACAAGTGTTCCAAATACTCCAAAGTACTGAGAAAGTTAACCCACTTTGTAGCTTGTCACTTTAGAATTAACAGTGGATACCAGTGAAAATGCAAACCAGAAGACACAAATGGAAACTACATGGGAGTGCATTTAAAACCTAGTACTGGAGTCACTCCACACAAAGGGTAGTTGGAACATGGAGCAAGCCATGCTGTTGAAGCAGAACGTTTGTACCTACTTCCTGATGCTGTTTATGTAGCAGTGAATTTTGTATGGCATGAAAACATATACCACTTATATCCTATGATTCCTTCTACAGTACCTTAATTTTCAATTTTTATGACATTTTCTATGGAAATTGTTGATGTTCTTTATCTTTACACTGTTGCTTGTTTGTGTCATAATATCCAAATATACCGAAAACAGGCTGGTCAGATGAGCACTGTTTCAGGCATGTTATTTTGTCACATGATTCCAAAAGACAGAAAAAGAAATGGAAATGGGATGTTGAAATTTTATTGTATATAGTTTCATATGAAATATTGGTTTATAGAACATAATTATGTTTTTTTTTGCATATAAGTTTAAATAGAATTCCTGACTTTAAGACTAAAAACATGTCAGAAGTCAACTGAAACAATTTATGTTCTTAATTTCCAAAAGTAGTCATTACTGGGGAAATAATTTCCATTCCTAATATAAATATTTCCTAAATATTAAAAAAAAAGTATTTTATTTTGTATTAAAATTGACATTCTTATGCTTGGGATATCCGAATTGTACTGTATGGCTTTGGCTTACTATCAAATCTGAAATATTTGAGCAGAAGCAGATTACACTAGAACTGCTGACACCAATAATATATTAAGAATGTTAAAAAATGTTCACATGAAGTATGATAAACATTAAAAACCAAAATAAATCACCCAGATAGTAAGTGTCTGCTACTATGTGTTTATTTACGTAATATATTAATTTTCTCTTTTCTTTTAAATGAAAAGCCAAGATTATACTAGATGCTACAAAACAGCAGACGCTGGATGACATCACATAATTAACAGGTCCCACCTCTCTTAAGCCTGGATGTTAACATTAAGATGATTCCAGAAGAAAGAGCAACACTGAGGGTGAGAGAGCAGCTGTGCTGAGCTTTGGGTATAACATCTGCTTCCAGAACTTATCGATCATTTACAGCAAGGTATGGAAACTACAGAGTACAAAGATGTACAGAATAATATATATTTACGTACTGTATATATTTCTGCATCACTGAAAGTGATTTCACCTTACTTTGCTTGTATACTGTACTTGTAATTGTGACTTCAGAATAGACTTCAATGTCAAAGAATGAAAGTTTGGATTTTAAATGTCTTATTTAGTTTTCTCTACTCCTATGACAATATTTGAAATGAAAATGCTTACATTTATCAGTCATTTTGAAAAATATTTTTTTATATTTTGTAAATATAAATCAGATACTAAACCATCTAAATGAATTAAAAAGATGTGAGCAGAAAAAAGGGTTTAACAAAAATGTTTCATTCTGACGTACAAAGGTTAAATTGACAGAATACAACGATACAAAAATACTAAGATTTGCTGTCAAAATGCCAAATCATAATTGTTTTTAAAGCCTCAGCTGTAGCTCTCCAGTTCAATCTTCTGTGGACTAAAGATAGATGTAAATTAACAGTCACTCTGGCACAGAGATGAGATCACTATTGTATTGCTTTCTTTAGGGATAGCATATAAAGCATATAAAGAATCAAGTGATTTTATTTTTTCAGCAGTAATCAGCATCATGTTGGTATTCTTAAATATGAACCTATAAGTTGGAGTCAGGATGGAGACTCTGATATCACAAACTAAAAATAAAACTAAGTTAGCAGAATATGTACAAGTGTAGATAAATAATGATTTATTATAATATTTTGTTTTGTGTAACATTGTGAATTTGGCAAATTATTAATATGATTAAAATGAATGTCTCTCACTTTTATCATTTTTTTAATTACCATGTAATTTTAAAGAAAGCTGCCTAGTAGAGGAGGGTGATCAAAACTAATTAAAAGGTTTAGTCTAAAATAATTAAAGTGTCAAAATTCACATTGAAGCTATAATTTTCTATGCATAAATTGTAGTAGAAGCATGCAAATTGACCGTCAAATCATGATGCAAAGCAAAAAGTACTAAAATGATTGATATACAGATATCTGTCACCAGAACTCCTATAGATATAAACGCGCCTGCTGTACCTGCAGCCACAGTATTTAACACATTAACAAATGGAAGGTCTGTTGGTACATCTTTCATACAGATGCCTTGATGCAGGAAAGTCACAAAACCAATTGAAACCTAACTAAAACGCACCTCTGTGGTTGGGAAACGGGTATTAATTAGACGAATAATTCGAGTTGGAATAACATTTCCAAAACAGGACTCATTATGGGTATATGTGAACATTTCACAAGTCTGTTTTATCATCCCCTTTCTGCACTTTATATTAAGCATTAAGGAGATAATACACTACATCTACAATCTCATATACATCTCAGTATAGGCCTACAAATATTAAAATATAAAGACAATATCAAATGTTCTCAATAAATACCTTTGAAATACCCATAAAACTAAAATGGAAAGTCTGACTTTATAGAGAAGTCCAGATTAATGCTATTACGACTAATATGTACAGTATTGGATTTTTTGTTCTATTTTTTCTATAACTAGAAATAAAATTGCTATTTTGCTTCCAATGAACAAGGGAACAAGATATTTTCTGGTTTGTTGATCTTTTTAAATTAATATAATAATAAAAACACATTTAATTTATTAAATTCTTTTTACAGTACTAGCTCAAGTACTATTATTTTTATTAATTATTTTTTTAAATGGGATTGTTCAGAACCCTGAAAATATATTCCTCAGAAATGCATGTTTTAATATTGTCTTGTTGTATGGAGTAAGGAGCCTTTAAGGTTAAAATGTAGGCTGTTCTAAATAACAATGATGAATCTTTTATTTTGAAACTCCACAACACACATCAATCACATAGTGCATCAGAGTAGGAACATCTTGTCCAAAAGATTGTATTGTTCTAAAGGGAGCTCTCACTGCTTAAATAAAATTTTAGTTTAGATTTTTTAGGTTTTTATTAAGTAGCTCTAAATTTTCTACCAGATCTAAACTGCAACTATAATGAAGAAATTGTTTTTTTTACTTTATCATAAAAAAACTACATTTTATTGCATAAAAATCACACTGTGTTGCAGCATGTTAGTCTATATGATGGACACCAATTCTTGCTTTTTTCATTTGACTTTTAACAGAACACATTTCCTTATACTGAAGTTAATTTAGTTTTTGAGTATCATTAAAACACTGCAAATTAGTTTGTTATTGTGAACTTCCCTTTCTATAATGTATTTCTCCCTTTCTGTAAAAAGGTGATTTCATTAGGTAACATATTTCTTAACAGCTTCCTAATGGGTTCCAACACAACAGAATGTACTGCATTGAGCCTTATTCCAGACAACGCTACAGACATCCTGAGCAACCAAACTGATTCAAGCCAGTGCCCTTCTTCTGAAGCCTGGAACTGGCTCTATGCCATGCAGCCTATTTACATGGGAGTCATTTGTGTACTGGGATTCATAGGAAATGCATTTGTCTTGAGTGTTTTCTGCTTCCACAAAAAACATTGCACCGTAGCAGAGATTTACCTTGGAAACCTTGCAGCTGCAGACTTGTTGATGGTGTCCTGTCTGCCCTTCTGGGCCATTACTGTAGCCAATATGTTTGAATGGCACTTTGGGCATTCCCTGTGCCAGTTCATTAATGTTGGTATTAGCATGAATATGTACTGTAGTATCTATTTCCTGGTGCTTGTTAGCATTGATCGCTACCTGGCATTAGTAAAGACTATGTCTCACGGAAGAATGCGGAGTGTCTCCTGTGCCAAAATAAGCTGCTTTACAATTTGGATGTTTGGTTTTATAATGAGCATCCCAGTCATGTTGTTTAGGACGCCAAAATACTTCCCTGAGTATAATGTTACTGCATGCTACCTTGAATATCCTAGTTTGAAATGGGAAACCTCTTATAATCTTTTGCTCAGTCTGATTGGATTTTTCATACCATTATTGATTATTTCATATTGTACATACAAGATCATTGAAGCCCTGAGGAATAAAAAGATGCACAAGTTCAATACAGTTAAAACCGAGGGAAAGGCATCATTTCTGGTCCTTTCTGTGCTCCTTGTCTTCTTCTTATGTTGGATTCCTTTTCATTCAACAACATTTCTACACATTCTTTTTAACAATGGACTTTTCGGTGGATGTGTTTGGGAAGTCTTCCTTGATATAAGCAACCAGGTATCTAGTTATCTTGCTTATAGCAACAGCTGTTTGAATCCTGTACTGTATGTCATTGTGGGAAAGAACTTCAGAAAGAAGGCTAAAGAGGTGATTGAACAAATGTTTTACAAAAGGGGTTCAACCAGTGAATCTTCTCGATCTCAGTATTTGTCTACATTGAAAACCTTTGTCTGACTTACAGTACATAATACTGTATATCAATTACTTGATGCTCTGTCCTGTGCAACCTTATTAACGTTCTATAGAGTGATCAATTAATAATCTTTTTTAAAACACTTCTGTTGAACAATTTTCTGGAAATAATATTACATTAATCTACTTCAATTTTTTCTACTGTTAATACAATACATACTTTTTATGTACAATATTTATAAATTGTGTAAGGAAGTATAAGCTTTTATAAACAAATGACACACGTTATAATAGAATTGCCTTTGTTCTTAATTTTTTTAATGGATGTGATGTATTATCCTTAAAAGAACAAATAAAACTCTTTTGTACTTTTGTTCTTTGTATTACAATATGTTTGATAAAAGAAATCACATTAAAGATACTAGAAACAATTTTGCAAGCTTCACAATATTATTTCCAAAACAAACAGTGGTCAAAACCATATTTTGCAGGGCTCAAAGAAACTGGGATTACTTGGGATTTCATGAACAGGGCAGCAATGAGACTATAGGCTGAGATTCAAGACATGTTGATGGCACAGTATAACCAGATAACCTGTGTAGCTCAAAATTGTTGCAGGGATCTGCTGTGATTGGGTGACATAGATTTAGCTGGGTGGTTTTGGTCAGTGATCACATCCCAGAAGTGTTGTTTGGTATCTGTATGTGAGTCCCCAGAACAAATACAAAAATCTCGTTTCATAAAGAATCAATATCACTATTAGATTATCAGATTTTTGATTACTGTTCTTGAAACAGTTCAGAGGGGGGAAACACATCTTTACTGTTTTGCTGTTCCAAATTGATAAAAATAGAAATGCGTAACTATCAATAGTTTATACAAGTAAAAATAAAAAAATGCTTCTTACAAATTATTAAAATAATTAAACAAAAATCCCCAATTTCCTCTGAGGGACACAATCAAATTCACAAGTACCTTTTGTGTTATGTTTTCCAGTTCTTGGAATTAAAAAAGACACACTCCTTGGGAGTCAAGAAAATAGCATTTTCTACCATCATTATTTTACTTTGACTAATTAACAGAGTTATCATCTTTAAGGTGCATTTCATTCACTACACATCATGTTGGTGTACGCAAATACTGTAGCTGTTTGGTATAGTAACCAGATTGTCTTGGAAACTGCATGCATAGATCATAAATGCAAATAAACTACACAAATCCTTTGTTTGGCAAGTAAATGTATTAAATAAAATCCAAACTGAATTTTAAATTTCAGGTTTTAAAAAGATGCACAAAATATGTTTCAAATCCTTCAAAATATTTTGTAAAACCATACATGAGTTTATGTAACCGTATATGAGGGAAACAAGTTTGTTTCAAATCAGGTATCTTTTCCTTGCAAAATTCATGAATGTGCTTTGATAATCATTTAATTACACAATTTTCTTTTGACAGTTTCCAAATGGCTTTTAACATAACTCACCCAACATCAAGCCCTGAGAGATACTCGAACAGCAGCCGAGTGGATTTCAATGAATGCCCTTCATCTGAAGCTTGGGAATGGCTCTATATGATGCAACCAGCATTCATGGCATTTATCTGTGTTGCGGGTACAATAGGCAATGTGTTTGTCCTGTGTGTATTCTGCTTCCACAGGAAGAAATGCTCAGTAGCAGAGATCTACCTCAGCAACCTTGCAGTCGCAGACTTGGTAATGGTGTCCTGTTTGCCTTTTTGGGCTGTGACTATAGCCAATGAGTTCAACTGGAACTTTGGTGATTTGCTCTGCCGACTGGTAAATGTAGCAATCTCAATGAACTTATTCAGTAGTATACTGTTCCTGGTTTTGGTCAGCATCGACCGCTATCTGGCCTTTGTAAGACCTATGACTGCTGGCAGAATGAGAAGAGCAACCTGGGCAAAAAAAATCAGCCTTGGCATCTGGATCACTAGTTTTCTGTTTAGTTTGCCCGTCCTGATATTCCGCTCTGTGAAGTACTTCCCTGAGTTTAATGCACTTGCATGCTACCTGGCTTACCCACATGAGGGATGGAGAGTCAGACACAACCTAATCATTAATATAGTAGGTTTCCTCATCCCTCTTGTGGTCATTTCCTTTTGCAGTTATCAAATAATCCAGACTTTAAAGAAGAACGAAATGAAACAATTCTCTGCTGCAAGAACTGAAAGGAAAGCCAGCATTTTAATTCTTGCAGTTGTCCTGGTCTTTTTGGTCTGCTGGGTTCCATTCCACATTGTGATGCTCCTAGACACGCTCTTTCACTACCAAGCCATTTCAGGGTGCCATTGGGAAGACATACTTGATGTTGGAGAGCAGATATCTACATATTTGGCATACAGCAATAGCTCTCTAAATCCAATCCTTTATGTTATTGTTGGAAAGCAATTCAGGAAAAAAGCTAAAGGATTGTTCAGACAAATATCAAGCTGGGATGTAAAAGGTAAAGTGTCACAAGTATCAAAATTTACTTCAACCCTAAAATACTTTGAATCCACTCAAGTATGATATGGGCACTGTAACAATAATTTAATAAGGCACAGTTGTTGAAGGTAAACACTACTTAATTTATGTATTTTTATATGTTGTTAAAATGAATGCTATGGACGATTAAGTTGCCTTATTTTGATGACACTGTTGTCTACATGTGAGAGAGAATTTATAATATTATGTAGCATTTTACTTAAATTAAGTGTTATATTTGTACAGTACAGAAGATTTGTATTTATTGCAAAGATTATGAGAATTTTAATGAATACTGTCATGACATAATGAATTGAAATGTATTTGGTTGTATGAGGTGCAATCACAGCCTTTAAAATACTAATATCTTAATGGACTTCTCTCTTTAAAACCACTCGATGTTGTACTAATTTGAGACAATTACTAAGTGACATGTTTAGCTGTGAATTTGCTTAGGCAAGCCAGTGACACTGAGCAAAAAGAAACAAGAGTTGGTTTAAAGATACTGTATTTGGGGACATGGTGGAATTTATAAAGGTATATTTCTGTTCAAATAGTATGTATTCTAATACATAAAATGTGAATTCTTGTGTTTTGCCAAAAATAGATTTTTTATATAAATCTATTTAAAGATTTTGGCATTGATTGCTGAAAGATATCTGTGAATTTTATTATGTTTTTCTCTAACTTTAACAGTTTTATTTTTCACATAATGCTATATGGTGAGCAAAACCATATTTTATTAGTAACAGTTCCATTTGGACACTGAATGATTTTTATGTACTGAAAACAGCCTTAAGATGTGGTTTATTCCTTTATTTTTCCATTTGTTTCTTTGACTGTGTAAAATAAGCTACATTTTGAAAGTCAAATTAAAAGGTCTTTTTGCCTACACATATATTGCAGCTACTTAAATATTTCACTTGGATGAAACGTTTAGCATTAGAAAATAATCTTCTGTTATAACTTACAGAATTGCAATATGTTGCTGTACTTTTGGCATTTTGATAATTTATACAGGCATTTTACATCTGTAGCACAGTTGGTTGGAATTTCAGTCCACCGAGGCCACAGGCTTCTGGTTTTCATTCAATCTCAGATCTTAATCTCATAACTAATGTAATAGCTTGGCTATAAAGTCTGATTAGTTTTTTTCTGCTGAATTTCTTCTGTGGTTAATTCAATGATACTGTAAAAACTACAGGATCCAGGGCACTTAAGGCCTGGGGTACCTGCAAATCTGTCCTCTGCATTCTGCCTGTAAAACAGTTATTAGAAAGGTATTCCATGTCATCTTTCTGTTATTGTACAATGTATAAATAAATCGCAACAAAAACAGTGTTGATATGGTTTTCTTTTTCATGACATGTTGCATTTATTTCATACTGCTTGCATTGATAAGATAAGATAAGATTACTTTATTGGCCATATACAATTTCTTGTATTAGGAATTTGTCTTTTCGCATACCCCAACTTGCTGTCCATGAGACACACAGACAGGGAGAGAAAAGCACAGGGAGCTTTAGCACAGAAGCATTGTACTGTGTACTAAACATTTCCCTTATCCTTCCAATTGGCATACTGTATTTGTAATACTTTCCCTACAAGCCGTGACACTAAATTTAGATAGGAAAAGTCCAAGGAAACTGTGAAAAAAGTAATATGGAAAATCATATATTATATTAATTTCAGTGTTTCTGTGTCATTCTTCGGTGGTGAAATTATAGCAAGTCATTATACTGTACAAAGGGCGGTTTCTTATTATTTTAGGGTATTAATAAGGATATCTAGAGACCCTTGCTTATTCTCTGTTACAGTACATCTAATATTACACAGCAAAGCATGCACCAGGCTTTCTCTTTGTTTCTGTAATAATGTTCTTCCGGTAAAAAAGCAGAAATATTTTTATTTTATTTATTCCTATATGATGTGTACTGTTTCTATCCCTGAGGTTTTTAATTTAACACTCCTTAGATATCTTACACATATTACCCAGTTATGACAGTCTCATTCCCTTTTTTTAGAAAAAACATCTGCCATACACCCACTGAATCAGACATTCTGTCTCCTACTGGTAACATCCACATACTCTTTAAAGATATAATGGAATTTCCTGTTAATCACTGATGATTTAACAACTGTTCATCCCTAAGGAATGAAATTTAGGAATGAAAATGTTTACAAAAAAAGATGTAAACAATAGAGTGCGATTTTTGGAAATTATTTTAAAATTATTTACAGCAAGAATTATTTATCCCCCTATAGTGTTTTAACAGTTTAATTTAGATAAATGTGCAACAGATATCTGGTTTGGGGCAAAAGAAACACTGAGAAGGGGCTATTTGGCCTATCTAGCCCATTTGGTAGATAGTAGATAATTGATCCAAGAATTCCATCAAGCCTTTTATTAAAACATGCCAAAGTATCAGCTCCAACAGTCATGGCTGGGCAGTTTGTTCCATATGCCCTCAACCCTTTGAATAAAGAAGTACCCAGTGTTTTCAAATTCGTTCTTGTCAATCTTTTATGGACTCAATCCAATATTATTTTTTTAAAAGTCCTAGTCCGCTTAGTCATGGTCTTTTATTTTCAGTAAAAAGTATGGTTATGTACTGCAATGAAATTAAGTTTAAAAATATTACTTAAAATGTCCAGTCCTACTTCAGATGCCTACTGAAAATTGTAATGTCTTTTTCTGTTAGCAGCTGCATAAAGTAAAAAGAATCTTGGGCTAGAAGATAAATACCATACATTACAAGTAAACCTATTTACATGATCGTGTAAGTCTTCCCTCTACTGTTAGGCAGTAAGGGGATGAAATATTGTTCACATTCTTTGCCGCACTATGTTCTTCTTTCCATTGTCTGGCAGGAGTGAACAGAAAACTTCACATAGCCCTCTGGACTGTTGCTGTATTACCAGCTATATCAAAATTATTGCACCAGCAGTTTCTTTTCTATGAAAGGTAAGCTACCATAGTTCAGTTTTTCAGCATATATAACTTTAACTATTTTTATGCTTTTGTTCCCTTCCAGAATGCATGAGGAACTTCAGATCATATAGGCCTTTTATAATTTAGTGTTTAGCAGTATGACATTTGAATAAAAGGAATGGTAAATGAGGAGTATTAGCCATATGGTTACATTGTTAAAAGTTAATATACAAAATTTGTAAAAAATACAATTCTGCTACATATTAAGGTTAAAAATATAATTTACTTTATTTGTAAATAGTAACTGTTTACTATTAACTGTAACTGTAACAATTATTACAAAGTAACTGTAGTCATTTCTTGGCAGATTAACAAATGGCATTTTTGGACATGACAGCAACCCTTTCCCAAGCCTCTCATGAGTTTTTAACAACACAAATGCCCCCAATTACTCCACAGAATGCCTGCTTTTTCTTGATTCGAGAATTCTGTATAGTATTTTGCCAATCCACCTTTTCACCTTGTGCATGATTGTGTTGCTTGGAAATATGTTTGTCTTGCTTGTGTTGCACAGAGGCTGAAATTTACCTATGAAACACAGTTGTTGCTGATCTTATACCCCTCACGTGCCTTCCTCTCTGGGTTATAAATATCATGAACCACTTTAACATTTGGGTAGCTAATGTGCTAATGTGCTGGACCACCACCATAACTATTATAATAAAGTCCACCAGTGTTTACTTAATAGGAAGCATCATGTGACTATTTGGTTCTTGTGGACAGTGACTGGGACAGTGACTGCTGGAAGGATGAAAATAACTTTTTTACAGATCCATGAGACATATCCCACAACTGGACACAGTGGCAAACATTCTTAAATTTCCAGAAAAACTGAGACTTCACCACAAAGCATTATTACGTCTTATAGGTATTTTATTATATGCCAATTATATGCCTTATTGACTTATTATATGCCAATGCTAAGGATGCATATAATTCCACAGCCCTTCCCCGCCTTAGCAGATCAGATCACAACCTTGTCTTGCTTACACCACTATACACGCCTATTGTCCAGCGCCAACCTGCAACAATGAGGACTGTGAGGAGATGGTCTCAGGAGGCCATGGAGGATCTACGTGGTGCTTTGGAGGCTACTGACTGGGATGTGCTGTGCGAACCACATGGGGACGACATAGACAAGTTCTGGGTAGACAACACCATCCTCACCAAAGACGTACACTGCTTTTCTAATAACAAACCCTGGATCACCAGTGACCTTAAGGCTCTTCTGAATGACAAGAAGAGAGTCTTTAGGAGGGGGGATAAGGAAGAGGTCAAGCATGTACAGAGGGAACTAAAGCAGAAGTCAAGAGAGAGCAAGGACGCTTAAAGGAGGAAGGTAGAGGACAAGCTGCAAAGGAATAGGGTGAGAGATGTAGGGAGGAGCCTGAGAGAAATCATTGGCTTCAAACAGGCTGGGGGTGCAATGGAGGGGAACCTGGAGCTGCGACTGCCCAACACCTCCCCCATCCCCCCACAATCATGGCCGCCTACAGCTACAACCCCCGACAGCTACTCACCCCCCCCCCATGCCCCACAGCTGCCACTCTCCAACACCTCCGCCATTAACACCTGCAGCACTGAAAGCGCTATGAGCACCATCCCCCAGGCCAGGCTGACCATCACGGCTGACCAGGTGAAGAAGGAGCTGAAGAGGCTGCACCAGAGTAAGGCCACAGGACCAGATAATGTCTGTCCCAGAGTTCTGAGGGCTTGTGTTGATCAGCTGAGCAGAGTGCTCCAGCGACTGTTCAACCTGCACTTGGGAAAGTCCCTGTGCTCTGGAAGACATCATGCCTGGTCCCGGTACCAAAGAAAGGGTGCCCCTCTGTCCTCAATGACTGGAGAGGCTGGTCTTATCCCACCTGAGACCCCTGGTTAGTTCATCACTGGACACCCTAGTTTGCCTACCAGCCCAGTGTTGGTGTGGAGGATGCAATCATCTACATCAGGGGTGGGGAACGTCCGGCCATTTGGTCTGGCCCTGCCAAGGCAACAGCAGGCGTAGAGCCTGGCGATAATTCAATAACGATAATTATCACGATATAATTTTCCTCAATATAATTTTAACAAAAGTTCGATAAATGTTCATGCCTTACGCATGATACGCGCATGCGCACTAAATACTGCGCGAGTGCGCGTGCGTGTTGCAGACCGGGCAGCTAACAGATTTGTTTAATGTTTCTGCTGTTTGGCAAGTGATGTGTTCTTAAAATTATGTTTAATTCACCAATTAACTGTATGGCGTCTTCAACTTTCACTCAGGAGGAAAAAATCTGCCTTTAAACTTGAAAGAAATAATGATTTGACATTTATCGTGATAATTATCGATATCAACTGATATGAAATTTTTTATTGTGATAATGTTTTTGGCCATATCGCCCAGCCCTAAGCAGGCAGTACTTGAAATTCAATAAATCTAGGAGCTTTTTTTATAGCAACATAAATTTATATAAAGTGAATCATAATAATAACGTTAATTTTGAGGGACAAGCAAGGAACGTCCATTACAGGATAGACAGGACACATACGAGTACATGACGGGACAGACACGCATGCTTCTCACCGGCTGCCCGCGGCCCGTCTCCCTGTATTGCGGTGACTCATAGGGGAGTCAGTGCCAGGCAGGCTGGGAGTGTACACGTTGCGAAAGTGTTAACACACTGTGTTTTACGAACTGTGGGATGAAGTCAAGCAGTTCATGGAGGTGAAGGGAAAACCTGTCAGGGAACTCAATGATAGCAAGTGGCTGTTTGATCCACTGGGCTCCAGACTGACCGACGCAAACCTGGAAAAGCAGTTGCGAGTAGCAACATCATCAATAGCTAACATCACATGCCTCACCAAAGAGAGGCAGTTCCAGCTATCACATTAGGGGTGAGTTAATTAAATGTTTGAACAAATATAGCAGGCTAATTTTTAAATTGATAATTTTTTATGGCCCGCGAATGATGTTATAAATATCCAAATGGCCCTTGGCAGAAAAAAGGTTCCCCACCCCTGATCTACATGCTGCAAAGGGCCTACTCACACCTGGACAAGGCTGGCAACACTGTAAGGATTATATTTTTCGAGTTCTCCAGTGCCTTCAATACTATTCAGCCCTTTCTTCAAAGGAGGAAGCTGGAGAAGGTGCAAGTCGGTGCCTCCATGATCTTGTGGATCACTGACTATCTGACAGGCAGACCACAGTCTGTGAGACTTCAGAACTGTGTGTCTGAACAGGTAGTAAGTAACACAGGGGCTCCTCAGGGGACAGTTCTTTCTCCATTCCTCTTCACACTCTATACTTTGGACTTTAAATACAACTCAAAGTCATGCCATCTGGAGAA